CCACCACAACGCACCACCATAACCAGCGGGCCCGCACTCATGAGATATAGGCTAGTAGCCATCGGACAATCTGCTTCAACAGTATCATTCCCCATGTCCTGCACGTTAGATGTCGGTGAGGGACGTTTCAGGCACCAAGTTTTATGCGCTCGAGGAGGCTCGGACTCTGTGGTGGGAGCGAGGAGAAGGCAGAGATGCCCCGAACGTCCACTTCGGCTGCCATCGTGGTAATGGAGGGTTTATTGAGTCGTAACGTTCCTCGTGCATCGACAGTCTAGTCACGCATTGTTTCTTTGGTCGATTTAGGCGGTCCACTCTCTCCAGCCTTGGCTGAGCACACAAATCGTGTCAGGAATGGCGCAGGTATTTCGCGAAACAGGAGCGTTTGACGGACAGGTCGGGCGGGGGATTATGGGATACCAGATGACCTCAAAGAAACAGTGCGCTCTGGATTGGACCATCTCAGGGACTTGAATCATGGCGAGGACTTTCTCGGAACCAGCGCGACCGGTCTCGTGGCGATTGTTTCAATCAAGGCACTTCGAGCCCAGTTCTGCTCTGGCCTGTCTCTGCGCTGAAACGCTATTTCAATGTCTCAAACTCGTACGTGGTGCGGAAGCTACTGCTTGTTCTGCTTCCCTGGCGGCATAAGCCGTGGACGCGACATCGTCATCATCTTCTTCATGGCCAAGGCTCCCATCCTCCCCAAAGGGGAGGCGATATCACAATCTTCTTCGACAGTGAATCTCATTCCCTCTTGGCAAGAATGTTGATCTGGTTTGGGGATAGAGAGGGGTGGAGCAAGAGGGGTGAAAGGGAGGCCCGTCGCGTCAAAAGTGAGGTGCTGCGGCGATGTTGGAGTGGTCTCTGTTGTTGTTCGTTCTGCAGGCTGCTCAGGCTGCCTCTTCACCTGGGAGCTCCCCCCATTGCCACCGCCCCCCCTGCCCGGCAGTCCCCAGAATGACCCTCGTATCCGGAAGACCATCGACAACTCCTGTCTCACGGTCCGAGAAGACATACAATGCCAATCGTACCCAGAATGCACACCGGAAAGACCCAGGCCCAATAGTTTCCACCTTCTGGAATCCAAGCAAGAAGCAGCTGAGCCCCAATTCCCCCCAGACATGAAATGATCAAGAGCAGGCGACCGGCCGGCGGCCTCAAAGATCTACCTTTCGGCATCACCGCACCACGAATTCGCAGGTCTGAGAGGGTGGGTGCAAGATTTGAGGCATGGAGATCCCACGGATTAGACAGAATAAAAGGGGCAATTACTGCCTTCTTCGCCGAGTGACAATTTCTGATTCCAGCGACGAAGAGAAGAATCCGTCCTCTGACACCGGCCGACCGTTGTAAAACTTCCACATTGAGCTTTGTCTCCGTGGGATGTTCCCGGGGGATTGACATCGTCGAGGTGCAAAGGCTCCGCTGTGTTTTGCTCTTTGCCCTTTGAATATCCGCCAACGCGGCTTCCAACATAGCTTCGTCGTTCGAAGGACGGTTGAGTCTTCCACCTTTTCCCTGGTGTAATGGTACTGAAACTCAACGTGCCTGGTCCTGCCGTGTCCGGACGGCGTCTATGCAAGCGCTAACGCAGGCTGGTTATCTCCGTAAATCGTCGTCGGCGTGACCTGTTCTCGGCCTCGTCCACGCAGGAACTGTCCCAAGTAAACTGCCTCTTTTAGCTCAACCACTACCTGTCGCTCTTGTTCCACAGGTAGTTGCGACAAATCCAACGGTTCCTCTCGCCTGAAGCCTGAGTAATCAATTAGTGGTGCATCCTGAATATCCTCATGCGTGTCGTATTCCCCCGTGACTTTAATGGGCGCAAAACACCTATTTTGATCTTCATCAAAGATAATGGCCTTTCAACGGAACACTCTGCATTCCTCAGGATCAAACACCCAGTCGATTGAAGGCGCGGCGCCGTAACCAAGCATGATGCACGGCTTGGAACGGTCTGTAAACTTACCCTGGCGCTTCCCCTTTGGTACATGAACATAGGCACGAGTTCCAACCATTCGCAAATGACTCAGATCAGGTTGTTCACCACTGAACCGCTCAAAGGGTGTAACAAAACTAATCGATCTGTTCGGACTGCGATTGAGCAAACAAGCGGCGGTTTGCAAAAGGTTCTCCCATAAATATTCAGGCAATCCTGAGTCCTTCCTCATCGACCTCATCTTGCTCATCCGTGTGCGATTGAGGCGTTCCGCAACGCCGTTTGACTCAGGGCTGTTAGGTACTGTTAGTTCCTGATAGATTTCGGCCTGTTTGAGGTATTCTCGTAACTCAGAACCCTCATATTCACCTCCGTAATCAAGGCGAACAGCCACTACCGGCATTCCCTTGTTCGCCGCGTTCGCCACGTAATGCTTCACCCAGATCGCTGCCTGAGCCTTGTTCTTGAGGAAGTAGAGGACTACATGTCTGGAATAATCGTCTGTGATAGTCAGGAGACAAATGGCCCATTCGTCGATGCCACAGTCTTGCCGATTGTCCGCCCCTCACAGACAATGCATTGTTCGATTCCTCACGATGAACCTGGACCAGAGACGAAAAGTTGTGCTTCGCACTGAGTAGGTAACGCCTTGCTTCCTTCAGGACGTTTGCAATTCGCCGATTGCCTTTATCTCGAAGCTATCCAAATCCTGGTCGAAAAGGGCAAAGCGGACGTGAATCAGAGAAGTCGAGCCGGTCGTTCTCTGCTGGCTTGGGCGGCCACTGAGGGGTTTACGCAGATTGTCGAGTACCTGTTGAGTCTACCGCGCTTGGACAAATAAAACAAAATAATTACGCGACCGTTCTTTCTTCTTTACCCATATCGGCTGCAGCTCCTTCCAAACTCTGACGTTGTGACCAGCCGAAAGACACCCAGTCCCTCCAACAGCCTGGAGAACCAGCTATCCACGACATTCAAGCAAGGATGATTTCTCACGGCATTGAGGATCCGGGGACTGGGAGTGCGTGTTGCACTCTGGCTTGTTGTCTGGCATTGGGCTATCAATTGGATCGGATCTTCCCGTATCCCTTACATATCGGCGCTTCTCGACCACATCCATTCTTCGCTCTGACAGAGTAACATCTAAACAATGTCAAAAAGCTGGCAGGCAACCACATCTGACCGATCCTCTTTCCGCCTCACCAACACGTTCAAGCCCGACGGAATTTATGATTGCGACAACCTGCAGCATGCGAGATGGTACGGAGAAGTTACGGTAGCAAGAGGACGACAAACAGTTCATCTCCCCTTTTATCAGTGGAAGATGCCCGGCTACTAGGGCGACACGACCCGTCGGGGTATCGACCGCCGACATCCAGGACACAATTGATCAAACTCTGGTGGAATTGGCAACTGCTTGCTCACGCGCTGCAGAACGCATCGCTCTTGACTCTGAGTCTCGTCTTTCTCCTCGTACCCGCAAGTCACATTCGTCGTTTCCGCAAAGTCGCCAATAGACTGCGCCAAAGGAAGCCGGTCAGGTTGTGGAACTCGGCGAGGACATCTCCTTGATCGACCAAACCGCGAAGATGAGGCCGTCGGCCACGCATCGTGAGCTGGACTGGAACTGTCGGGCTCCTTCATCCGCTCCGCGTCGCAACATCGACGCTGGCTTTGATCCCCGGAGAGTCGGGAAGTCGTAGACCTGCAAGGAACTACTAGCCGTATACTCTACTTCCCCTCCTCTCCTCGATTTCAGGCTGACCACCATGCCCCGTCGTTGCAGACCCCAAAATTGTCTCTCCTGGGCGTCCAAGTTACGGCCGCAAGCTTCACCTCTGATTTCTATCCAGCTCCGTCCAGGAAGAATGGCTCTGGCCAGGCCTGGCGGGCGTGTGGGGCTCCCCGATCGGTCTGCTGTTGTTTGCCTGGACGGCGCGCGGACGTACATTAGATCGCGCCCACGATCGGCATCAACGTCTGGGCCGCCGGCAGCTTCTGCATGTTCCAGAGCATCATCTGCTATATCGCGCTGTCGTACTCGAAGTACGTGGCCTCGGTGATCGCCGCGAACGACTTTGGCCGCTCCCGGCTGGCCGCGGGCTTCGTGCAGTTCTCCCGCTCAATGTACCTCGATCTCGGCATCGGGAAGGGTGTCACCGTCGTTGCGGGCCTGTCGGGCGTCGGCGTCGCGGGTATGTATGGTCTGCATGTGCGTTATGCGACTCCGAAAAGGGGTCGACACGATATCTCGGCGCATAAATTGCCGGTTCTGTACAATTTCAAGGCAATCCAAATGAAGTTCGTTTTGAAGGTGCAGCGTTTGAGGTCAGTCCTGACCTTCTGCTTACGCTGGCTATACTTACACAGTATGAACCAAGTTCTCCCTTGGCTAATTGATACCTGATATAAGATCCATGACATTCCGATGATCCATGATGGTTCAATGGTCAATACCTAATATTTTATGGCTGATAGCCCGCTGATCGTTGTACGCACGACCACGTACAGGTACGACGGCGAGGGTCACAACGACACCTCGAACGACAACACGGCTTGCTTCGAGAAGGCGAACGAACAGGAAGATACGCGCGTTCTACGACAGGTGCGTGTATTTGGACAGACATCCGTCTATGTGCATGACTCGCCACGAACAGGGAGATGGCCGTCAATACGTGCGCCGACGCGGTCAGCGACGTGTACAGCGACGTCAGCACGGACAGCGGCTCGAGCATCGACGGTGGTCAACGACACATACATCGACTCGGAGGACAGGATGTTCACGGATGTGTGTTCGCACTTGGTCAAGATGATGGTCGAGCGCAACGACAGAAGAAGAGCCGAGAAGGTGATCGACCTCATGGACCTGACCGAGACCGTCCACGCCCACGCCGACACGTACATGGACATCATTCCAGTCGCACCCACGAAAAAAAAAAGACCGAGTCTACCAATGGGACCACGGTCGTGGCGCTGTCGCTCACCGCGTTAGCTCCACCCACGCGAGCTCGTGTATGTACGCCATGATGATTTTTGACCAACAACTCGACGACGTTCGCTACCTGTTCGTGTTCCTGCGGCAGCCTGACGCCCACGTTTGAACGAGGATATCAGACCCCTGACCGAGCCCATATCGGCCGCCTCGAGGATCGGGCTGATCGAGCCCGCTATCCTCTCCCCTTACAGACTTGTCCACGTCCGAGACGCTGACTCCCATGTCGACCAGAGTGGGGACGTACCCCCTGCTCTCACGGACCTGTACACGTAGTGGCGGCTGGCAGTCGACCTTCTTCTCCATCACCAGCATATTGTCCTCCAGCGCCTTCAAGACCTTGCCCTTCGTCTCCACCTGGTTGTTCCCAATCCACAGTCGACTACTTCTTTCTGTTCATTGTCAGCATCAACCACAAATGTCTGCCTTGACGTTCTCGAACGGGGTGCCGATGAGGCTGTCGTCGATGGCCCGCTTCAGCTCAGCGCCCTCATTCATGTACTCCTCCCTGGACTTCCTGGTGTAGTACCTAGCCGCGCACGTCATCGCTTCCGCGCACACCCTCGAGGAGAGTATGCTGTGCCTGCCGCCGGTGGCCCCCGGAGATGCTAACTGTAGCACTGGGCCAGGCTCATCCAGTACTGTACTGCCGCTCTCGACTCTCCACCGGGGACATGACGGCCTGCTCCTTCGCGTACGTCCTCACGTCGATGAGCCTGGGTATAATCGCGCCCCCGGTCCGTGTCCTCGCCCTGGATGACGGAGATGGACGAGTGCTTGGTCCTCATGTCGATGACGCCCCTGTCCATGTTCCAGACCACCTTTTCTCGCGCTCGAGCCTCTCCACGTTCACACCGATGGGACACGTTCGTCTTTACCTCCAAGGCCTCGAACGTCGGCGTAGACCACGCACCTATCCACGAAATATCTATAAATACTTCAGCAACGATCCATACAAGGAATGGCCATCGATCATAATCACGCCCTCGTAGCAGCCCGGTAGGGGATAGGCGACACGACGAAGCCACCCTCGTGCTTCCTGTCGTCAGTCATACGGACGTGTTCCTACTTAGGTTTAGGATTCCTACCGGTCGGTCTACGCTACTTTCTACTAGCGGTACCTACGCTCTATTACCTCTAAGATAGGCTTACCTATATAGTACGAACTCTTTCTAAACTCTTATAAAGGTTTTTTTATCGGGATATAGTTAAAAGTCCTCTAAAAGTACCGTCCAAAACTTTTTCGTCGTATTTTAGTCTAAAAAAGAACCCCTAAAAATTTTTTCGTTGTGCTTTTACTAGAGAAAGACCCCTAAAAAGTTTTTTCGTCGAGGTGCAACAAAGGAAAGTCCCCCAAAAGATTTTTTTCGTCCAGGTGCAGCCAAGGAAGTCGACCACCTTCTGACGCTTGCAGAGTTCAGCGCATTCAAGGGCTGTCTTCCCGCAAGAATCCTTACTCCAAGTATCGGCGCCTTTCTTCCCATCGATATCGGACGACGTCTTCGAACGTCCCTCCAGCGAGGAGGCGGTACACAAACGCTGGTTTCTTGTGGCCCAGACGGTATGCTCCGCCGATGGCTTGTTCCTCCCACGAAGGGTTTAAAGCTGAAGTCGTATTCTTTGAGATGTGTAATCACCATCAACGGAAATCTACCCCCTAGGGACACCTGAACGGCCACGGCCGCCGCCGCCGTCCTTCGCATGAGACCTCGCCTGAACTAGTCCTGTCAGCGTCAACGGCGCCGCCAGCGTTTTGGCCGAGGTAAACGTGCCCGCAAGCGAACGATGAAGCCAGTTCAGGCCAGGCAACAAGGTTTTCTACCTGATTTACAGGAGAACTAGAGAGATCAACACCAAGATTGGCTACACAAACAGGTGGCAGCGAGGTCAGGAATAGCAAGAATGGTTTCTGGTCCCAGTTGGCCTTGCTTTCGTCCTGGCTACTTCGCTTCTATCCCGTGAGACCAGCGCACTTTTCCGAGGCAGACAGTGCGTGGTTTTACCATGGTCTTTGATAATTGACGTAATTGACGTCGTGTCGGCGCCGCTCAGTCAACAAACCCATGCCGCCATAATCCCGCTGTGTCGAGGGAGAGGCAGAGAAGCCGAAACACACCTTTAACATGGCCTGGATCATACTCGACCACGGAAACAACCAGTACCGAATGTCGCCAATCCTGTACCCCGGAGTATTGCAAACCTCGCTGGAACAATGTCCTTGTTGTATAGTCTGTCGAGAGGGCTCAGATATGGGTGCCTCGTCCACCTGGGAGGAATGGCACAAGATTTGATAGTCATGGAGACATCCATATTCGTTGCGCCACCTGATCAACAAGAGCAAAGAAGAACCACCGGGCATTGTCGAATGTCATCCCTGCTCCGCCTGTCCCGTCTGTCTCGGTCAGGCCCGCAGCACGACTCGGCTGGACTGGGCATGGGGGCATCAAGTTTGTCCTGGCGTTCGATACTGTAACAGACTTAAAACCTCCCACTGCCGTCGCTCAACAGACTGTCCTAGTCATTCTTTTCGTGCCATTCGCTAGCATGATCGCCCACAGGTTCAATCGACAGTCTCTCTCCTCGAATTCGCGCCGTGGAATAGAATTGCTCGCCGATTAGCGGTCAAGACCTATCCTGATGCACCGCAACCTGGGCTGTTCGGTAGACACATTCGCCGACCTGGTGGGCTGGATTCGCCGTCATCGAAGGTTGCAAGATTCGCGTTATATGACGCTTGAAGAGTAGGATGCGATATTCCTGTTCATTTGCCGATTCGGTGCCACACGTACCGCTGTGTCAACAGTGTTCTCTCGAGGTCCTTGGCGATATCACACTCGTTTAACGCGGTATTGAAGGCCTTGTTGCCGCTGCATTCGCAGGTTATACAACAAAACAACGACGGCCACGCCAGTTCCGACATTCATCCACAATAACAGAAAAATTTGGCTTTACTTCAAGGATTGCGTTGGCGCTCTCGATGGCACACACATTCAGGTCTCCCAAGACCATTCTGATCTTGGAGAGGAAGGGGTAAGGCGCCTGGCGTCATCGTCAAAGCGTGTTATCACAGAACGTCCTGGGAATTGGGTCCGTTCGGTCTGCAATTCCCGCTGGCTTATACAGGCTGGGAGGGTTCTGCCTATGACAGTACTGTCCTGAAAGACGTTCTCTTTTCAGAGGCATTCCGTGCTCCTCCAGGTCGCTATTTCCTCGCTGTCGGGTATTGCCAACAGCGCAGAGATCGACGTTCCCGAGTCTCCGACTGAATCGATTTGGGGCAGGACGAAGGATTCGGAAAGAGATGGATGAGCTCAAACCACCTTCAATAGAGGCCAGAAATCCCTCCTCTTCACTGTCTCGCCGACGTTCAAGTAAGTCTGCGATTTCAAGCGCTTTTGGCATCGTTGGGGCCCAAGAGCGCTGAAAAGCGGTCAGCCAAGCAGGCCCTAACACAATAAAGCACACTATCGGGCCTTGGCCTGTGGGCTGTTGGGTATTCAGCCGGTATCAGGCACCATCGAGGTATCAGCCATGACCCATCGGGGCTGTTAGCCACCATCGGGCTATGGCCGCAGGAACATACAAGTCTGTCTATGGACCTTTGCATGGACGACTGATCGGAAGCATCAAGCGAGGCTCGGGTTTGCCTGGTATATTCTCACCGCAGTCCAGTTGAGATTTTACTGTCAACAGGCCGGTTCGTATCAACTATAGCTCTTCTCTGTGGCACAAGAAGGAAATGACCGAGCCAGCTCCGGAAAGCATTCCGTCAGAAAGAATTGTGGTCGCTGGGAACGACGGGGGGCGAAGGGGGATCGGTCCAGCGGAGTCGGGACTTGGGGTTGGGGGGAACAGACATGATTCGATTGTCGCGGACGTTTTTATTGCATGCATGGGCTATCTGGAGCCTGGCCGCGGGTGGGAGGAAGCGTAGGATTGCAACGTGCAAACAACACACAGAGGCCTCCTCAGCAGGTCCGTCACAAGAAGAGAGAACGAGGGTCCTGTGTATCTCAGCAAAGGGGTCGTTGACTTGCTAAGGGGCGCTAATGCAAGAGCAGGTGCACGGACCACAAAGTAATCGTGGTGTCAGTTATGGCCCGTGCACCTGCTCCTTGCCTTAGCGGCTCTTGGCCAACGCGCACAAAATTTCTCTTCATGTCCAGCCAACTTGGTTCGATCGACAACCAACTCCCAGCATGTCCAATGTCCTCTGTACAGTCACGTCACTGTGCTGTCCCTACGACAAGCATTACAGTACAACACCACATCACACGGCACCACCAGCGAGTAATAGGGCGTGAGATATCAATCTCAGCCAAAAGACACTCCTTTCGCACTCTGCGTTTGGCCACCTGCCACCCCGAAGGAAACAAGGCTCGCCGCAGTTCCTGTCACCATCGTACCACCATCATAACCACCAGTGGGCTATCAGGGATCAGGTGTTAGCAAAGAGATATGAGATATCAGGGATCAACCAAGGGGAGACAGACTCTGAGAGTTTCACCCACAGGGGAAACAACGTTTGTACCACCGGCATCTTCAGGAGGAGGAGTAGGCTTGTGAGGAGGCGGAGTTGCTTATCGAGATTCACGCGTCTTCTCAGGTGGGGGGGCTGCTGTTTCGAGGTGTTTCAAGGAGCCGGTGGGCATAACGGAGCAAAGGCTGCTGTTGTGCTTGTGCCTCCCGGTCGTTGGCACAGGAATATTGCAACGCAACAACATCCACCATATGCCTGCAGTTTGCCAGCACAGGATCGTAAGGACCACAGCCCACAGCTATATCTTCATCGTTGGCTAACAGACAAGCTCTTCACGGATCGTTCCTCACTTCGGGCGTTGGTGGGCCAAATATCCCACTCCGACCGACGGGGATATAATCACCGGCGACTTCTTACGTGGGTGCGCCGGGCTTGGTGTCGACTTTACACCCACGAGCACCCCTCTCTTCCTTTGGTCCGCCGAGTGCTGACAGGTATCAATTTCAAGACACATGCATCTTGAAAGACCCGAGGGAGGGGCGGGCTAGCTAGCTAGCTGCAGAGATTTCACGATCAGGAACGAAGGCAGAACGGTAGGTAATTTGGAGAAGCATACCCAGTCTCCAGACGAGCCGCTTTCAATCAGAAGGAGGACACCGCACCGCACCATCACACCACCGGGCTATCAGCGATCAGTGAACATGTATCAGGTATGAGTCTATCGGACTATCATCCCTTAGCCAAAGGACACAAATCTCACATCTCGCGAGAGGTATCGAGGCGCGCATAACGGCCCCCATACCTGTCACCTTGCTATGTCCAGGAAGGTCTGTTCTTTTCCTGCGTTCGACCATGCCGTGGACTGATTATATGCAGAAAAAGCCCGTGAACGCGAGGATTAGCGGGCACCCAAACGCAAAGACTTCTCTCTCCCTGTGGAACAGACCTCTGGCCATACTAGACTTCCGAACGCTCGGCGAATCCAAACGCTTTCGTTATTATTAGTTGGACGCCACAACAGATTGAGAGCGTGATTCAAGTGTCAGCCAGACCAGTCTGCCTTGCCCTGGCCGGTTCTGTCTTGTGGTCTCCTGTGCTGTCCTGCCTGTCTGACTTTGTGTTCGAAGGGCTAGACAGCTTCTCCTTCAGACCGTTGAAAGAGGAGGGGGGGGGCAAGTGGTGTAACACCACCGGAGCAAGAGGAGGGAGTGAGGATGGTGTGGACAAGCTGACATTGTAGACGTCCACCGAGCCCGGCTTTGGAAAGCCCGATCCAGAGCTTCTGGAGTCGCACGGTTAGCGTTGTGCGCAAGAACACCTTTGATCAACAGAAAGACCTACTCGAAATGGAGGCCTCGGGGTCTCGAGACTTTGGCCTCTTCGCAGGAGAGGAGGCCTCGCTCTCGACGATTAGGCCAGGAGGATTCTCCACGTTGCGCGTTCTTGATCGCCAAACTAACGAGGAAACCTGGTCCCTGTCAAAGGCACAGCAGCGTTCTGCTCGCTAGCGATTCCATCTTCGTTATCAGGACTGGGCGCTGGAGGATTGGAAGAACAGTAGAATGTAACAGTCAGTCATTGTAACAGTCATTGTAACAGTCATTGTAACAGTCATTGTAACAATCAAGTCACGCACAAGAATATCAGGATCTCAACAATACCATCGAAAGGCCCACGTCATCAGGACCACCCGTGAGCGCTCAATTAGGCCCTTGGGATGCGCCCAATCGATGTCTCACCGAGGAAACAGCGTCATCGAGATGGAGGAATCGCCTCGGTTGGCGCCAGAAGGTGCAATTACCCTTTTGGGCGATTTGGGTGACTCGTTTCAAAGTGTCCGTCATGACACCGTTTTGTCGATTTGAGCGCAATTAAACACGACCATGAATCTAACTGCCTGTTCTACTAATGTGTTTGATGGGCCTTGAGGAGATGGCAGACCTCGTCCATCTACAATGAAATGGTCGATGGCAGTCGTGGCGGCGGGATGGATTACCCTGATTGCTTTTTCCCAATTGGGACTTCCGCTTTTGGTTGACGATAATTGCCTCTACCACCAAGCAGATCTCGCGCCATGGCCTGCGACTTGGCCGATCGATCTGAACACACCAATTCCGCAACGATCTCTCCCGGCGCCGTTCCAAGGCCGTTTCCTGACAGGTAATCCTGTAATGGCCACTGGCATTGCCTATCACGCTAGTGATGCGGTGTCTTCCGGATCCACATGGCCACTCATCTGTTGACAGGTGGGTTCTGCCGTGACTAGGACATCGATCGCTCGGGCCCTTCCACTCTGTAATCAACTCGTAGATCTGGATATCGCTATCAGTGACTCGCCGGTGGCTCCTAGAGTGCGACGAGAGGGTGTGAGTCTGTCTGTCTCTCCCCCTGTTGATATTCTTATAGTTAACGATAAATGTCATGGCCCGACATTCCCGCTAGCCCATAGCCCATAGCCCATAGCCCATAGCCCCATTACTCGCGGGTGCTGCGCTGGTGCTGTGGTGGTCAGTGTTGGTGGCTGTCTGCAAACCCTTGATTCCTTGCCTCTCGCGGAATGTGAGTTTTGTATCCTTTTTCTGAGAGATGACTCAGACTTGATAAACTGATAATATACATGATAGTCGATAGTTGATAACTCATATTCCATGGCCTATGGTGTGGTTGTGGTGGTGGTTCCTCAAGAATTCACGGAATGTGAGTCAAGCTTGTCTCCGCTTAGCTTACGGATGGGCTGATATCTACTATCTCATAGCCAATACCTGATCTGATACACCCCATAGTCCATGGCCTGATGGTGATTATAGTGTGGTGTTGTGGTGTTTTGGTGAAAAACCTTAATTTTTCCCGAGTGCCCTCGTACGTGAGTGCGACATGTCCGCACTTACGCACTACGACTTGAGGCTCTCTTGGCGAATAACTGATACTTGATACATAATACATGATATTCCGATAGCTAGTACCTACAATCTCATGGCTGATGGCCCTCCAGTTGTGGTGGTAGCTGTTGCTGGTGGTGTTTTGCCCGCAAACCTTAATTCCTGTCAGAATGCCCTTTCGCCGACTGCGAGTTTTGTGTCTTTTAGCTGCGGCATGACTGAGACCTGATACTTGATTTTTTACACATGGTACATGATACTACGATAGCGAGTACCTACCCCCTGATATCTCATAGTAAATAGCCCACTGGTAGTGTAGCTATGGGTGTTTGTTGGTGTTTTGCCCGCAAACCTTAATTCTGTCCTTTGCAGGGGATGGATTTTGTGCGATTTGGCTGTGGGATGAACCAGCCCTGATATTTGATATCTAATACATGATACATGATAGCCCCGTAGCTACTACCTCGTCCCTGATCCCTCACAGCATATTGATCGCTGGTCGTGTTGCTGCGGTATCGTGCTGCGGTGTCATGGGGTCCTAGTGAAAAACCTTAATTCTGGCAGATTGTACTCCGGCACGCGCTGCGGACGGATACGCTCCCACACACGAGATACTTGATAATTGATACCTGGTACATGCTATATGACATTCCGATAGCTCGTCCCCAATATCCCATGGCGAATGCCGCGCTGGTGGTGCGGTGCGGTGTTTTTGGCCGCAAAACCTTAATTCCGGCAAGGTGCCGAGTCAAACTCAATCAGCGATGCCATATGATATGATATGACACAATACGGAGTCGAGCGTCCACATTGCACCCCATGCTTTGTATATTGGCCGTCCATCCCGATGTACTTGTCGATCTCGGTGCTCGTCAATCTCGGTTCTCGCCGATCTCGGTACTCGTGAATCTCGGTACACGTCGATCCCTTGTCAACCTCGGTACTCGTGCATCTCAGTACTCCACCTTAATTCTTGTCGATCCCGGTACTCGTGAATCTCGGTACCCGTCAATCTCGGTACTCATCCATCTTGGCGTTCCTTGACATATCTCAACTCTCTCCTCGCTCCACTGCTGTTCAAGCCCCCAAGAGGAAGAGCGGCATCACCTCTGCAGCCCGGAACAGGACCAATCTTCACCGTGATGGCGCAGTCACGACATGAATCTACCCCGTGAAGGGGCCTTTGCGCCGCCACACCGGTAGAAAGGCACACGTTCAGCCCTCGTGCGAATCTCCAGGAAGAAGTTACAGATCGCGGCGCTGCCTGGAACAGGAAGAATCTCTACCGTCAGCGCGCAATCTTGACATGAACCTACCGCCATTGTGCCATCGGTACAAAGACACAGGACTCAGCCTCGTGCGGAGGACCCAGGAGGAAGAGCAGCGTCACCACCACAGCCTGTAATAAGAGGAATCTCTACTGTCAAGGTACAGTGACGACATGAATCCGGAAACGAAGAAATCTGCCATTGTGCGGCGCCAAGGCACACGCTCAGCCTCGTGCGGAGTACCCAGCCTCGTGTGGGGTAACTACCACCCGATATCTCGGCCGAGACAAAGAGTCGAGGACGAGGTTACTATTTCACACACAGAATCGCGTCAGACGCGCAGTCAGCGCCAACGGTATGATTCTTGGGTGGAGCAATGATATTGGATCCCATGTTTGTGTATTACGCATCTATCTCTGTGTGCTCGCCCTTGCTTTGGGGGAGTTTTGCTTGGTAATTACTGTTCAGTGTGATCACCCTTGATCATTCCACTGGGCCATCCATGCCGTGCCGTGCCATGCTCATCACCGAGTATTCAGTACAATTAGTAGGACGTGCCATGATCCAGTCCCGTCCAGTCCGATTCAATCCAGTTCAATCCCTTTGAATCCAGTCCAATCCATTCCGGTCCAGGTCAATCAAGTCCCCAGCTCACTGTGCTGACAGTTCAACACTCGGTCAGTCTTTTGTGACATCCTGCGTACCATGTAATTCATTTCCAGCTCCAGTTGCAGCCCTGCCTTGTGCTCAGGTACTTGATCGGGTGTTCTGTCGCCGGGAATGGCTGCTCTGGCTCCGGCAAATCCAAGCCATTCCGCAGAGCAACCAACCCAACCGCCGACGACAACCATCTCCAACCCAGTCAATCAACAGTGAGCTCATTGTGTTGTTTTTGGTGTTTTGTAAAATGTATTCGAATGGACTTGGCAAACAAAGAAGCCTGATCTGTGTAAGGAAATCCAGCTTTTTTTTTGGTGATTGGCTTGTTCGGCCAGCAAGGCCGGCAAGGCTTTTCAATTGTTTTTGGTGTTTCGGTGTTTTTGGGGAGTGGTGATGTATGATGTGTGCTGTGTTGCTGTGCTGGTCAACCCGGGCTCTCAAGGCATGTGTCTGTCTGCCCTGCCTGCGCCCAGCACTTGGCTGCGCCACCACCGATGCTGCCTGCGGCCCGCTGGCATGTCCAAGTCGATTCCATATACTCTGACGCTGTATCTCGATCGCAAACCCATGGCATGGTCTGGTGTCAACGTTCAACAATTCGTATGGTTTGGTGTCATGACATTTCACTCCAACATCCACAGGATGCGGTCGAGCTCTTGCTGGAATTTGGCTTGCTCCGCCGTGCTGTCAAAGTGCAGAGTCTCGGGCTCTTCGGCAGCCGGATTGATCGAGTCGTGCACCAGCTTGGCGTCTGCTCTGATGCCGTCCCAATCGACCAGCGAGTTCATAAAATCCTCCGATGCCAGCGACGACCAGGTCTGGCGCACCCAGGGACCGTCGCTGTAGATTGAATTGGTGTCTCTTCCAAACATGTCTGCCTCAGTGAGGTGCTTGAATGCTGACATCTTGATGGCGTAGTCACGTTCGACCTCACCATGGCCTGTAGGCAGAATCACCGACATGGTGCCTTGGTTCCCGTGGCGGACGCGACTGGGGAAGTACATGCGCTCTTGGCCCAAGAACTCGGAAACACAGATTTTCCCCGTGGATTGATGCTGTGTAGCTTCGTTGGTCTTGCTACCAGTCTCGTCCACTGCCATGCTATCATCATCTTCAATTAATTGTATGGGGACGCCGAAGTCGCAGTGCTTCGACCTTGGTGGGTGGATGCCAGGACCGAATGGATATCATGGGAAAGATGTTCGGAGCGTTCTGAGGCGCTGGGGGAAAGGCTACCATAACATTGGCTTCCAAATCACCGATGGTGGAGACATAATCCTCCAATCGCTCAGGGCCGTGACTTGAGAGATCGTACCGGAGAGTCGAGTCCTCTTTGTATGGATTCGGCCGATGAGCCATACTGTAACTTTGCTGGCTGAGCCTTAAGCTCGGATTTGGCTCTTGCTCATCTGGATTGTCAAAGTCAAGCAGTTTCGTTGTCGCCGCCGGAGCCGTGTTCAGAAGGACAGGAGTTTCATCGATCCATTTTGCAAGCGCTTCTTCCTCACGATGGGCATCCCCGATGATTCTCAATCCACCAAGCGGAATGACTTGGTAAGAAGACTTTGGTATAGTTTCCGCGCGCTTCAGCCCGATTGGTGTACCAGGTGCCATGTTGAGTAAGAAGTTCTCCCACCCCTTGCTGCCGTGCTGATACATGGGCCGGGCGCAGACAAGGTAAAATGAGTTGACGTCTCTAGCTATATCCCGCACCAAGAGCTCCTTAACTGCCTGCACGAATTGCAGATTGGCATCCAGAGCTAGGATTGCAGCGAATCTAGCCCTACTTGCCGGAGAGGGAAATAAGTCGGGGGCGCGGAGAAGTCTTAGAACCTCTTTGCTCGAAAACTTGAGACGCCGGATTTGCTCATCCACATCGAGGGGACGGACGAGCTTCACAAGTGGAAAAGCCTTAGCGCGGAGGATCTCAAGGCCAAGAGTGACGAGATACTCTTCGCTGCACACTTGCACCACATGTCCCTCACCTATTTCAGCAGAATCAGAGACTGTTCACCACTAAATGGAAAGGTCACTCACTGTTCAGGATACCTCGATGTTTCTTCTTCTCTTCGAAATATCTGCCATCAAAATACGCAAGAAACCGCTCAGCCATGATGGAAAACTGCTTGCTGTTGAGGGGTTGTGCATGTACAATTTTCGATGATGAAGCCACGAATCTGTAGCTTGAAATAGAAGATGAATAACTCGAGAAAGCAGCATCATGCAGGCAGTTTACCGCGTGGGGGACGGAATTCACTTGTCTCGAAATGAAGAAGGCTGGGCAAGACAAAAATGTGATGGTATTGTTCTGGGAACAATATCAGTGGCAAAGGTGAGGCAGAAAGTGAATTCAGGGTGACTTGAGAATAATGGACTCATTTCAATCACTTCAAATCCTTTTGATTTTCTTCTCATTCAACCATTCTCCAATTTTCGTTTCATTCACGCCACAGAAGTGAGTCATCAACGCCACAGAATTGAATCATCAACGCCACATTCCAATTTCTTTGTTTCTTTGTTTACAAGGTCCGAGCGCCATGGCTACTCAAAGCAAGATGGTTGCAGACGAGAATTCAATCCCAGCTGCACTTCATGACTTCTTTCGTTCACTCGCACCACAGCAACTGAGCTCAATCACCGAAGCTATTGCAGCTGTCGTCCCGGCGCGCTCGACAAGCGAGAGGCGCAGGTCCTTCGTAGCGCGCAACAGACGGGGTATGACTACCAAGCGTCCTCTGAATGGCTTCATCGCATATCGAGGTGAGTACAACCATCTCCTCTCTTGGTCTCTGCTAAAAACTAGATAGCATACTATAGCCCGGTGTTCAAGGGTGCAACCCAAAAAGCGAAAAGCGGCTTCATCAGGACTATGTGGGGAGAAGACAAGAAGAGATCGATGTGGACTTTGTTGGGAAAAGCATACTCCGACATGAGAGACCACCATATGGAGGCCATCACAGTGGACAGGTTTCTGGCAGTTGCTGTTCCATTGCTTCCGATCGTCCCCATCGATCTGTACCTCACTAAGATGGGCTGGATACTCACCGTCGACGCCAGTGGTGAATCAGTCCTGATGCGATCTGCAAAATTCAATCCGGAACTGTTGGCTGCAGAGTATCCTCATCACACCAACTTGTCAGAACAAGATATCGTGGAAAACTGCTACCGCCGCGGCCTGGTCGACCGTGGTCGTCGTCAGCGAACACGCCAACACCCATTGCGTGATGCGCTGGTTCAAAATGGCATGATGACAGACACAGACGTCGGAGCGACGGGCGGCAGTGCTGTTTCTCACGACACACCTCCCCACTGTGGTGCCTTGACTCTTGCAGTTGTTCCTCAGACGGTATGTTATCAGTCCAGATTCTCAGTTCAGTTTCAATCATCCAACCCATACTTGAGTGTAAGGCTGACTTACTTTATCAAATCAGGTTACTTCACCTTCCTCGGCCGAAAGCGTGAGCAGCAGCCCAGTCAGCCATACTCAAGAGCAGCAGTTGCCGACGTCTGCTAGCAGTTCTGCCACCACTCCCAGTCTTGTCGTCAACAATGACAATGAATATCATCATACAAATCTCGACTACCTTACAATTGAGGCTGTTACTGCCGACCAGCAATCTGCATATGCTCGAACCAACGGAGCTGGTCTGGCTGCGCTTCACTTCCATCCTCAAATTTCCCCCCCAATCTTGGGATTTGATCCCCGTATCGTCCAAGATGACTTTGACCCCTTCAATCTGGACCTCTTCGGGTTTGACTTCAACCATATGTGAAGAACATGTGAGAGCATATGCTGCACGTCAAGGAACTTGATAAATTGGAAAGAACAGAGACAAACATGGTCCGGAATATCCACGCCAATGGAGCAACGATGCAGAGATTGGGGGGCCTGTTGCCGGAGCTGGGAGCTACAGGGAATTACATTGGGTGCGGTTGGGCTGAGGCGGGTTAATGATAAGGTCACAGGCTTGAGCTCGCGAAGGAAAGTTCCAGTGGGGAATGTCTACGGTCACTGTTTGACCAAAAACAGAACTGAATTGCATCAAGGATGCGTGTATGGGGAGTGACCAATTGTTCCAAGCATGTTCCATACATGCAGACGTGGCAAGGCCACACAGATACATGGCTGTTTTCCATAGAGCTGACAGCAAACAATGAGAAACATTGAAATCCAGCCATTGTCCCTGCTTCCTTGACTCGTGAAGGTCTTGTGGTGACATCCAAACAAGGGTCTCACGTCGAAATGCCCATCCAGCAGAGCAGTCCCGGCCCATGGTGAGATGGAAAACGCGCGTAAAGGGCGCAGGCAGCACAGTGATTCCCGCTCGATGCCAGTTACGATGTAGGCCAAGAGATGTCTCAGCACCCGTCCGTGCCGGGGTCAGAAAAGACAAGTATGAATCCTGGCTCTTCATCAATCCATTGACACTCGTAGATGTGGTCTGTAGGTTTAACAGCTGGAAACTCTTTGCGGCTGTACATGCTTTCCCCAGAACAAAGGACGGCAAGGAATCTCTGGCGAGAGAAGTGAGGAGGGGTCTGAGGCGGTATTTGTCGAAGCCTGATCCACAGTATGTTAGCCAGCAAACATTCGAAGGTGCCGAGACTGATTGACACGAGGGGAGAGCTGGGAATTGCTCACCTGGAGAGACTTGCAGGGAATCCAGGCCGGAACTGTGCTTGTCCAGAAGCTGGAGAATGAGATGACGGAGGATGGTTTGGACATTCAACTCGGCAGGGTTGCAGGTCCCTAAAGCGAGCACAACCAGGGCAGTCAGCAACTTGTACGTTCTTCTTGGGCACCCACATACCTTGTTCTTGAACTCGCATTTCATGATTCATCCCGAGAGCCTGGCTTCCACTGCTGTCAACAACATTGCAATTTTATGCCTTGGACTTTGCAGCTGAACTGTAATCCTTCTCGGGTTTTGTAACTCGGCACGTTGCCATTTGATGCCTCTGCACGCTGTATGTTGACGATGTAAGCCAAGTCAGCACCTTGAGCCATGCAAGTTGCTTTCTGATCCCATTATTCCCTTGCCATCTGCACGGCATACCAATTAATCCTGCAGTTCAGGATCAATCGTTGTAGCTGCACCTTGATCGAGGTCATTGGAGGCAAAAGGATTCAATCTTGCGCTCAAACTCGATGTATTTTGCAAGAGGATGTGCAGTTGAAGTCGAGACAGCTGAGTGAGAAACGGTTGACGGGATGCTTGAAATCCATGAGAGGTTGATTGAGAAGCAGTTGACGAAATGATTGCATCCCGCGAGTGGCTGCGCCACGGGAATTTCCTCGCTGCTTTCGAATCGTGTTTGACCCTCCTTGCTTATTCCCTTTGGACTGCGGAACCTGTTGGAACGTTGACAGGGAGCCACCCGCACCAATTCAAGGGACTGTTGGAGAGATCGTCCTTCCAAGTTCAAAGGAGCCTGTTTTACCAGGGAGGTTGACAGACAACGATCCTGGTGGAATGCCGACGGGGACCTTGAGCGACTTGTTCAGCTTGCACCGGCAGCACCTGCGATGTCGTTGATGTTTGTACTTGGGATAGTTCAGTTGGCAGCACTCTGCGATGTTTTATATCGCCCCTTGGACTCGTGAGAGCCCAAAGGCATCACTAGATCGATCGTATTTCGTTCGACCCGCGGTCTGTTGGATTGTCGACAAGAGCCGGCATTGGATGTCGTCTAGGATGATATAAGTCTTTGCTAGGTGCTTGACTGGTGGATGACAGACACCGTGCACCGCTTGTCGACTGCCATGAGATACATGCAATGCGAATCTCTTCCTGGCAGATGGAATAATGCCACAAATTCCATCTCGCTGTCATGCCCAACAGATCCATCACATCTGAAGCTGGACCGACACCACGTTCATGAGCTCTCAAGTCAACGTTGGTCCATGTCTCTGTTACGATGGGACATGGTCCACGCATCGGCAAGATCCATGGTAAAAGAATTCGGATGAGAAGAGCAGAGAAGAAAGCGTCAAGTCCAACCATGGATCACGTAATATAATGCCGTCAACTAGATTGAGGTTAAAAAACCTGACTGGGTCGGTATAAAGGGCCGTGTCCCTCGGCTGTCGACAGCCACCGACCTTCATCTGAATTGTAACTTGCCACGCGGCCTGCCGTTCTCTGCAACTTGCCATCTGCGGCCTCCCGCTCTCTAGTACTGGCCACAGACGTCTCCAAGGTGATGTATGCATTTATTGAGTTTTTGATTAGGAGACGATGACACCCTGGGAGACGTCCGTGATATCTCGTAAGCCTGGGTGTATCCCTGCGGAGCATCAGCACTGGTAATCAACGTAGTGGTGGTGGGAATCTGACTCACACTCGGAGAACATTTTACCCGCAGGCAAGTCACCCGCGGTGTATCAGTCGGTGAGTATACTTGGTTGATAAGCACGAATAACTGATGGTACTAAAGCACTGTGACAGTTGCCGTCTTATTTATTCTCGCCCCAGGACGACAGATGTTTTTATCTTATTAGGTGCCTGACTAGTCTGAACATGCTTCGCGGTGGGAGTTCGACAGGGAAACCGTCCGTTGGAGGACGTCAGGGTCAGCTGAAGGACATGAAAGTCAGTTGGAATGTAGACAAAGAGGTGGCTGGTGGACGCCGTGCACTTACTGTATATCACAGGTGTCGCCCAAGAAGACAAAGGGTTTGGCGTTTGCTGGGCATCTGCGCTAGTTTTCATGGTGATTAGGGACCATTGCAATGTCGTGGTCATTGCCACCGTCCTGTGCTGGAGAGGTATTTGCTGAGCATCTGCGCTGGTTTTGATGGTGATCGAGGGACCAATGTAAATGTCATCGTCGTCACCACCCTGTGCTAGAGGAATCTTAGCCTTGACACGTTTTGTCAACCTCTTTTCTTCCCCAGTCCTGAAGGCCGACTCTTGCGTAAGTCAAACCGAGTGGGAAAGCAAGGACGTACCCAACACTGAACTCGCCAGGGCGGCGGGAAGGATGTATCTAGAGAAGTCATGGCTGTTCCAAGACCAGCGGAGAGCTGTAAAGGTTAGCAAACGATGTGACAGACAGAAAGGATTGCTTGAGGTGCAGCAGAGGGGTGAGGGCGAGGGCGACGTCGTCCATCACGACACACAAGACACAAAGAAGAAAGGACAGAGGGCGTGGATTGTAACGACACTGACCTGCAATGCAATATTAAAAGAGGATAGAAGGCGTGATGTCGGCCCGGGGCGACCCCGTGTCAATCTTGCTGACGTTGCAGAACGCCAGGTTGGCCGCATCCTGTAGATTTGGGAACGAGATGGCCAGGTCACGGCCAACCTGGCGTTCCGCGACGGTGGGGGGCTGGCGATATTGCCTAAAGGTAGGTAAGAGATAGGTGTTGGTAAGAATGTAAGGGTTGTTGTTGATATTCATACTTCCCACAGGTAGAACACACCGTTGGTGCCTGGGGAGGGAACGAGGATAGAAGTTGTGTGAAAGTAAATGTGTGATTGATTGTCTCTCCAAGTTTTATGGAAGTGCTGAAGCCACGTATCTGGCCACGTAATCGCTATGGAAGGCAAGTGCTACAGGCACTGAGGTAATCGCGTGCTGTGTTGACGTGCTGCAGGCACCAGCCATGGAGAATCCACAACCAGGCGTCTGGCCTGGGGCGACAATGAAGGAACTCCATGGACCCAGTCGCGTTGGAAAGAGAAGGCATGTCAATCTTGCTGGCGTTTTGGATCAGGTTGGCTGCATCCTTGACATTCATACTCCCTACAGCTGAATATGTGGTTCCGCAGGAAGGTAGCGTGACAGCTATTCCCGTTGGCCTGCAGGAGTGCTTGAATGGTGTCACCAGTGGCGTATGGGAGTACTTGCTCAGTAGCCATTTTCTCCCACTGGCTCCTCCTTGACAGCCGTCTGTAAGATCGACCATTCGTTTCCCCTTCTTGTGGCCCCCCCTGAGAGCGTCTGCAAGATCAGCCGTTCGTTTCTCCTTCCTGTGACTCGTTGAATGACAGAGTAATGCGGTAAATGACGTATGCGTACATACGGTGGAATATTTGGCGCGACGTCTTCAGGGCGTCCATGATGGCCGATAGACCAGGTGCGAAGGAAACAATGTCTGCTGCTGATCGAGCTGCATCAGGCGCCTTGTAGACCATGTCCAACAAGGTGTGGATGGGTGAGAACCCTCCTTAGCTTGATACTAACTGGCCTGGAAGTGCTCCGAGGCGGTAGAATTACCGTGCTAGTTGGACGGTAAGGTAGGTGAGGTAGTAAATGGTAGAGAGTAGATGTTCATGTAGTTATACTCCAGCTGGTCAAGGAGTGGACGAGGGTAAATGACCTGGGCGTATGCCTGACTGGGATTGATGGACCGTTGGTAATAAATATTGTGATAGGTAAGAGGTTGCTGTTAATGATCTGCTGGTGGATGATGGACACCTAGGGCGACGTCCGTGGACGGTGCTCTGACGGTGCCCTTTCCAGCTAATTTAGGGAAGAGGTACACCTCGCCTTCAGTCCCGTCGTCATTCAATCACTTTTTGTGTGTTTGTTATTTTAGTCATGCCATGGACACTAGATGGCACTCTGATTGTGTTCTCCGCCACTGAATGCTCAGAGGGACTGTCTGTTGGAGGATGTGCATCTTCGCAGTCGGTCCCGTCGTCATTCAGTCCCAGACATTCTGGGGTGAAGAGATGTCATTTCGCCTTTAGTCCTTTGACTAATTTACGGCATGATGCTCTCTGGCTGTGCTCTCTTCACCCCTGTTGCATAATACCAACCA